CCCCCCCCCCCATGCCCTCCCACATGACTCCTCGTTCCGCCTGCGGAAGCCTGGCTTGTAAGTTTCCGTTCCTTTTTTTTTTTTAAGGAGCAAAAAGGTAGACGCTTCCCTCAGGTCAGAGCGTCGTGCTGTTCAGCAGGTGAACCTCCTCTTCTGCCTCCTCTCTCTCCTCGTGGCTTGGGCTCAGTTGAACATGAGGGAGGCGGGTCTTGGTTTGCGGTCTGGGCCATGTGACGGAGCACATCTCTTTTTCTTGTGATGCCAAGGAGGCGCCCGTCGTGCGTCACCAGGCACTGCCTCAGGCCCAGCTTCCGGAAGATATTCGCCACGATCTCCATTGGGGTGTGGTCGGTCACCGTAAATGGGCTCCTGTCCAGGATGCTTCGGAGCTTCAGGGGCCTGGGGCTCTCTGCTGGAAGAGATGGCGTGTGCTGCGCAAAACACACCCGGGAACTGCCGACGACACCTTCCTGCTTTTTTCCGGCACTTTCTATTGCAATCGTCAGGTCTCTTCTGAGGGCAAATCCCTCTAATCTCGGAGATTCTTTTGACAGGATGACAGGAAATCCATTGTAACTGGTTTCATTAATCATGTTTTCTATATCATCCACTGTCATATTGTCCTGCGTCAGGACGGCTAAGGGAGGATCATTCCTTCGCGGTCTCATGACATCAGCAGCCAGGGTGGTGTGGGTGAACTCTTCTTTTGCATCCAAGAAGGGGTATCCATTTAATCGGATGTGCGCTTCGTAAATGCCTTCCCTTCCGAAGGCATCTCCAACCCATTTAGTGGTCATCACTGCAGCCATGAGGGGAACAATGTGTTCCAATCCTCCAGTGAGTTCAAAAACAATAACCACCAGTGAGACCGTCATCTTCGCCACACCACCCCGACACGCGGCGGCCCCGACCATGGCATAGAGGCCAGGAGTGATGCAGTCCGCCCCAACCTCGCACCACTCCTTGAAGATGAACCAGTGGTGGTGGTGGTAGACCAGCTGCTCCACAGCGATGCCCACGATCCTTCCCGCGGTCGCGCCAATGGCCATGCTGGGGATGAACAAGCCCGAGGGCACCTTGATACCAAAGGTGAACACCGTCATTATGATCTTACATATGAGCGGCAGGCACAGCTGCCATATCGCGGAATACACGCCGATGCCGGCCGGCCGGTCAGGAATGTCGTCAACGATCTTACTGGCATTCATGTCGTTTCTGTAGTCACAAAGAGAAGAGAACTCCAGGGGACCACAGTCTGTGAAGAGCTCTTTAATCAGCTCACTGGTGTTCAGCCGGGTGTATGGGTTAGGGAAAGTTATCACGGCAGTAGTGGCCGCAACGAAAATGACCTCAACGACAGGGTTCTTTCCAAACTTGGTGGACTTGCGTCGACGACACCAGGCAATGTTGGCCCTTATGAAAAAGGCTCCCCAAAGCCCTCCAAACACCCCTAGGAGAATAAAAGGAAACAGTTCAAAAGGGTACCACGGTGTGTGGTACTCCACGAAAAAAAGGACCAGACGGCTGTTTCCAAATGGATTGATGGATCTCAACACAAACGCAGCCACTAAAGCAGCAAAAAGTGATCTCCATAAAGTTTTGAGAGGAAAGTAATAGCTAACCTCCTCCAGGCTGAAGAGGACTCCTCCAATGAGTGCGCCAAAAGCCACAGAGACACTCGAAGCTGAGGCTGCCGACAGCAGTTCACTTTTCTTAGCTTCATCTGTGCTATACTTCGGAAGGAGGTAGGAAAAGATATTTCCACAGCAGCAGGCAACATGCACCAGGGGACCTTCTTTTCCTAAACTCAAGCCTGATGCTACAGCCAGGACTAACGTGATAGCTTTAATCATTAAAGTCCATTTTCCCAAGTATCCTCTGATGATGAATCCACTCAGAATAGTTTTAATCTCTGGGATTCCAGAGCCACAGGCATACGGAGCAAATACCTTCACCAGGGAAACTGCAAGAAAGGCAAAACTCAAGGCCCAGAAGATATGCATTATGTAGTTAATGATGTAAGAACCAGGACCCTCTGCTTGACCTATGATTAACTCTGCCCATGTTTTCCACTGTGGACACTTGTCCCTCTCTTCAAAGGTCGTCTCATTAGACCCCCAACAACACTGTTCATGATTGTACCACAATGCACTGAGGCAAACGCTCTCCTTTAGGTCCGTCATCCAATCCGCAGCAATGTCGATTAATCCTGCCAGTGCCCCCGATGCCAGCCCCGTTAGCGTTACAACTAGCCAATCTGGACACGCATCATGCAAGCTTTTTGTCATTTCCCATGCTGATTTTCTTTTTGCTGTTGATCCGTCTATGCCTTTCTCTGTCCTTACATTTCTCTCGCACCCAGTCGATAGTATGGAAATCATCCTATGTGCCCACACCTGGGATCGGTTCATCCAGAAGTCCAGCAGGTGTGTGGAGCTGTTAATGCTGCCTCCGTTTGTCATTGTGTAGTGAGTTCCAACTGTAGTGTCACCATCTAACAAATTGTCGTCTTCAGAAGTTTGGAAGTCCCTAATAACACCTGCTCCATCTAAAAGTTCCTCATCCCTACTTGCACTTGTTATACTGTTGTAGCTGTTTCTATAGGAGCCTCTATGGAACAGCTGCTCAGACTCCATTTAGTTGTCTGGTTATCCCGCAGCCCCGAGGCATAGCAGCAGCCGTTCCGCATCGGTCCACACCCGCT